AAAAAGTATGTTAGATTAATTCTTAGAATTCCTAGTCCTAGTAACTATTCTTGGGAAGATGTAGTTGAAAGTACAGTACCTAGAAGTATTAGGTTTTGGAAGGGCAAGTACTTCTTTCAACCATCATTACCATTAATAACATGAACTCAGTTTGGCCAATCTATTGAAAAAATCCACAGTGGACCAACTATATCTGCTGTTGCTATCACAAAACCATCTCATCTCAGAGATGCAAATTCCTATCCCCGTCTACATTTTGCAAAAATAAATAAATGCTTTTCTCCCATCAGGAGAGAATAGACTGTGTTAAAAACCACTGGTGGAGGAAGCACATAGGAAATAAAGAGCACATAGCTGTTGTCCATTATCCCAATACAAAACTGAAGTCTAATATTTTACAAGGAGAGATAGAAGGCTATAAACTAAGCATGGTAGAACATTTTTCTTTAGGTAGGTATGTTTCCAAACTGCTTGTACTTAGAAATTGTGTATATTTTTATTTATAAAGATCAGTGCCTCAATGAAGAACACTTGAAAGTAAAATCAAATGCTTCTAGAACAGACTATTTAGTTATTTAGAAAATTTATATGGCTGCCCAACACAGTTATGGTGACTCACAGAAGAAAAACTCAAAATACAAAACGCAATATTACCCTAACTGAATTTAAGCCTCTGTTACGGGTTTCCATAATTCTTCAGACAGAAGCACCATAGATTTTTCAGTCATCAGAAAAAGTCTGATTCTTTTGCCGTTTAGTTGCCAATATCCAGAAATGGTTTAGCTTGTAAGTACAATTTATGACTACAAGTGAGCCCAAAATTTCTGTTGTTAAGTGAGATATTTTTAAATTAATCTAACCCAATTTTATGACTTTTCTTCTCATACTTAAGTGAGTCACTGCAGTTGATAAGTTAGTAACTTGGTTATTAAGTTAATCTGGCTTCCCCATTGACTTTGGGGCATAGCAACGGTCATAAATATGAATCAGTTGCCAAGCATCTGAATTTTGATCATGTGATCCTGGGGATGCTGCAAAAGTTGTAACTATTAAAAAGGTTCATTAAGTCATATTTTTTAGTGCTGTTGTAACTTTGAACGGTAACTAAACAGACTGTTGTAAGTTGAGAACTACCTATATCCTCCTGGAATGAATATCAGGCTGGACAGGATTTCTGGGCACTAGAAGAAAGAATATGGAAGCAGATGGGCCAATTGCTGGCATATAGGTGTGGACTTCCAACTATGTCCTTGCCTCTGGATAGTCCACACTTCTTTAGAGAAAGAAGTTCTAAGGTTGCCTAGATACAGAAGTTACATAAGTTGTTCTGTGTCTTTTTTATATCTTGAATTTCTTATGGTATTATAAGGCACAGAAAGAACATGAAAAGAACATGGGAAATCAATGATTTGATAATGACATAAAAGAAAGAACAAAAAGTGATGAATCCAGAAGGAAAATCTTATAAACAAGTTGTTGCATAACTTTCTTTCGCAATTAGTATGTCTCAGTTGTTTTCTCAGTAACTGTACCTTATGCCATTCAATATAATTGTACAATTTAAGGTTATAAAATGGGGAACTGCATAGATTGTCATGTTGATCTTGGCAGTGGGGAAATCAAATTATCTTTCCAGTCATTTTTCAATTTGGTTTGTTTTTTCTTACAATAATTTAATAAGTCGACCTTCAGAGCTGTGCCACAAATACAGATAATGCTTTGTTTTTGCCTTTTTTGGTTATTATTCTTAGTCATTTAATATGTTTAATACTCCAAATAATAAACCCATACGTGTAACTACAGCTTCAGTTTAGCAATGGGATAGGGTAACATTTACTGTTTATAGGATCTTCCTGAGATCAAGCATAATTTGAGATTCTTGCTTGCTTAGAAAACAGTTCACATTAACCTCTTATTTAAAAAAAGTTAGAACTAAACTAGGGGAAATGGCAGGAAAAAATGAGAACCAGGAACATGTAAGATAAGCCATGATCAGTGTGCTCTAGCCATCATGTGTTGCATGGATTTGGGCTACAATTCTGAGAATTCGGGATATTGTAGTCCCAGCCCACATAGGAGAGAAAAAGCTGACTGAGAAAATATATAATATTGTTTCCTAAATTATACAGAACAAAATAGCTAATTTTTCTTCCTTCTCTCAAAAGAGCTCTCTCTTGAATCTTCTTACTCATTCCCTAAGCTTTTCTGTATTTAAAACTTCCAGAAAGAAAATAAATAAATCCTGAAGGACAGTAAAAATACTGGCTGCTCTCTGGTGGTTGTTGGGATTTTTCCATTGCAGACAGAGTAATTTTGATATATTCCATAAAATTGGAATATATATAATTCAAGTACTCTTCTCCACACATAGTGGCCAGTAAACAAAGAGCTGTTTTAAGATAGGGGTGTTCAATCTTGGGAACTTTAAGGCTTGTGGACTTCAATTCCCATGCTGGCTGGGGAATTCTGGGGGTTGAAGTCCATAGGTCTTAAAGTTGCCAAGTTGGACACCACTATTTTAGGGCTTAATTTGTGCCACATAACATATTATTTTTCTAGCTTTTTTTAAAGATTGTATTGGTTTCTATGGTTCTTTGGATATTGTTGTCATCATAGAATCCAGGATTGCCAGTGATCACCAAGACTTGGCATCTGATGGACTCTCTACCCATCTGAGATTTTAGCTTTATAAATTAATAAAACAATCAGAATTCGCTATAGTGGTAAAGTAAACTGCCAGTTTCATTTTCATTTCCAAGACTATTTCTGGCTTATGTAAACTGAAAAATAAAAATTATGGGCAATTGCAGCCCAGCATTGTATTTGGAATTCTGCCCATTTATCTGGAAACAAGGTAAAGCAAACAGAGATAATATGGAGTGCATTGTGGGTTTGTATGTTAAAAGAGGCCTCAGATACATTTTGGTAAACCAATGGTTTATAGCTATTATGTCTATACCAGCCCTTTTTTGAACCAGCAGCCATTGCACAATAGCTTCCATCAGTAAGGCAAAAAAGAAAAAAAGAGAGAGAATAAATTAAAGAAAAAAAGTAAAAGAAAAATGGAAAGCGGCAAATTCATAATTGTACTTATAAATTTACCGCTAATATAACAAAGTCTTTTTGTTTTCCATTAGTGTTTCAATTCCCTTTTAAAGATCTTCCAAAAACAACATGCAGTCATCTGCAAAAGCCCTTAACGTATACGTTCTTTTTTAATCTTAACTCCCAAATCCTCTCACTTTCTACTACATCTTTAACCAATATTTTAAAGACAAAAATAAACAAGAGAGGAGACAATGGGCATCTCTGTCTTGTTCCCTTTTGTATCTCACAAGGCTTTGTTAGATCTGCATTATTTGGGCTTTCTGTGAAGTATCTTTTATAAAGTTCTCTCTCCAAATTCATATCTTTCAAAACTTAGAGCAAAAAGGCCTGTTCAAATTCTCAAAAGCTTCTCCGTGTCCATCAGTGTGACTTGTTTTTAAATTATGTTTCTCCAAGTATTCTAAAATGTCCAACACATTTCTAACATTGTCCTTTAAATGCCTTTTAGTTAAAAAGCCACATTGATCTTCACGAATAAATTCTTGCAAAATTATTTTCAGTCCAGAATCATTGTAGTCATTACATTATTGAATAATGATGTCAGCCTACAGTTTCTTGTGAAAGTCAGATCTTGTCCCTCTTTAGATACTAATGCTACATTGGCCTCTTTCCAGTTTTGTGCCATCTTTCCTCCCTGTGAAATACAATCATATTTTTAAGGTTGTAAAAGTCATCCTCAAAACATTTATAATAAGAACCTGGGAACCCAGCTGCTCTAGGCATAGCTCTTGTTTTAATCTTTTTTATAGCTTCACAAATTACACATCGTTACAGGTCCATTCATAATATATTTCTGTTCCTCTGCAATCTTTGGTAAATTTTGTTTCTTTACATACACATCTATTTTTTCCAGAGAATTGTTTTGTCTTTCATAAACATTGGAGTGATGAAACACTTTGTTTAAAGCCACATTATCCAATACTGCAATATTTCCCTCTTATAGTTTCAATATACATTTCTTTTTTCAGTTTATGTGCCAATCATTTCTTTGATTGCTTTGCAAACTCAACAGTTTTTTTTTTGTTTCACGTAGTGATGAAGAAACATTTAAAATGTAAAGAATGTAAAAACTGTGTTTTTACTGGGCTTTAAGGGAGAATCTCCCTGTGTCTTTTCTCTGAACAGAATAAAGCTATGTATGCAATCTTGCACCTTAGTGTGTTCATTTTGGGCTGAAACAGTGCTGGCTATAGTCCCAGTCTTGGATTGGGACAATAGTAGTTCATTTTTATATCTATTTCTCTTACTATTAACATAGATGGCTGTCATTATAAAATCTTAATTTGTTAGGAAATACTCCAAACCATATTATGGTAGTGGTAATCTGGATCCCCAAGGGGAAGAATCTGCATTCCAGAGAGCAAAGAGACAGCAAAGATAGTTAGATAATTTGACCAGGAGAAAGAGACCTAAGAAGGATCCTCCCTAGCAATTCTCAGATTTTACCTGTAGTGATGCAAATAGTTGCTTTAGTTGGTGAGATTGATCTCAGAACACAAGAACCAAGACAGACACATGGAGTTACTTCTGAATAGTTTCCTTCACTGTTCCTCACCAATGGACAGAAATCAAGAAACTACCAAAAGAGAAAATACCAACAATAGTAAGGCAAGGGAGTAAATCCCATACTTACTAGCAGCTATTACCAAGCAAACAACCAAACTCAGCCACAAGGACTTCACAATTCAATTGTAAATGTAAGAATTGGTCATAAAGTTATTTTTTCATAATTTCATAAAAAATCGCTACATGAGGACTACTTGCACATTTATCTTAGACTTTCCTGTTCCCTAGAGTGAGAAAGAAACATTTAATTGACCCTTGTCTGAGTTAGTCATATTTCATTCAATCTGTGAAGTTTGTGTAAATGACACTGTAATAATCTTTTACAGAAAGAAGCTTCCCAGTTCACCAAAAGAACAATTTTTATCTACCCAGATAATTGCTATTTGGTAAGTTTCCTGTTTTTGCAATAGGACAGTTTCCTCTTTCATCAAAGTTTATTTACTGTCCAAAACCAAATACAAGAAAGTAATCAGCAGTTAATTGATTGATTGATTCATTGACTGATTGATTGATTATGTGCCATAATAGATAGCTTTCTGTGTGAAAACCAACAACACAATAAATATAGTAAAGGATGCTTTTTTAATTGCAAGAGTCTGTAAATTGCAATTAACAGGTAATGATTAGTAGCATGAGAGAGAAATAATGTGGCTACTAGCAACTATAACTATTGATAAAAATCTGCTTCTGAAGAATGGTCATCTAAAAGAATGATAATGACCTTCCAATCACAATGGCAATTATACTTGTTAACAATTATAAATATGGTTTCATCACCATTGGTACAATGGTCATTATATTAGCACATGTGAAATAGATTCTACCTCCATGTCTAAACAAAAACATAAATATTTAATTAATTAATAAAAACAAATACAACATTCATATGAAAGACTTATGCATCCACCAGTTCTTGTCCTAATAGGAAAGACCCCAGTTTGGGGCAAAGTAAATTGTCTCCTATGAAAGGCATAGAGAACATTAATTTCATATGTATTGTAGGAGTGGACTAAGAAAGGGAACTATAAAAAGTGTAGGGAACATTGGTTCTATCCTTTGGGATATCTAAATCCAAAATCATCAGGTTTTATTGATTTATTATTCAAGCTCTTATTTCTGCCTATCAACAACTTTTCACTTGATCCACCAAGGGTGAAAGATCATTAGTAAGCCATCTATATCTTCCTTCCCTTCCATTTCCTCTTCCCCTTCCTCTGCCTGCCTGTCTTCCTTTTTAACTTGAGAACTTCAAGGTAACCCGAGAATGGTTTCTCAGATTGTTAATTTTACCATTAAGTAATGCAAATAACATACTTGGGGATCTGCCTTTGGTAAACTAATATTAGTATCTCAGTAATAATGTTTGATTCTGGGTTTGTTAAACTGTGTTTTATTTTATAGGCTGTTTGGAATGTAAACATTTAAACATTTCTGATGAAGTGGATGTATAACTTCTCTATGATGATTGCTTTCTATAGTGAAATAGGACTTGCCTCTATGACCAAAGAAAAATAAATTTACTTTTCCTTTATATAGTTTAAACTGTTTAAACATATTTGTAGCATTACAGATCATTGTAACTTGAAGACAAAAGTAACTGACAAGAAAGAGTAGGACGGTCCAGCATACTTAATGCATTTTTCTTTTCTGAGAACAAACTCTTTCTTAAAGGAGGAATGATTTTGATTTGGTTCCAAGATTACACCTAAGCCTTATGTTGTGTGAAGTGAGGCATGGGGCTTTATACACAGTGCTTTATGACTTAATGTTTTACATCCCAGTCATTTTTGCTTGTTTGACAAATTGTAACTAAAGCAAAATGTGCCATAGCACCATATATGAGCATAATATGGGCATAAAACAATAAATGGGAATTTTTGCTAATCCTTAGCACTCATGTCTGGTCTCAAAATCTAGTTAGCCCTTACCAGTGAACACTGAGCTACTTTTCTAGGCAAATACCATACAATGATTTTTCTCTGGGATCATCCAGAGATGTTAAGAGTACAATTGAGAATGGTAAAAAAATTTCCATAGAAGAACTAGCTACAGGAAGGCTGCCATAAAAGCCAAAGTAGGAGTGTAAAAAGGACATTCTTTCACCTCCATATAAATTGGCGGAGGGGGGTTAGAATTGCTTAAGTCCCATCTTTCTACCCCGTGCACCAAACTATGAAGTCACCCTTGATATTTTGGAAGTAATGCATTGTAGTGTCAGTTATCCCCATCAGGACAATAAGAATAGTCAACAGTTTCAAGGAGTGCTAGTAGGATAAGACCACAGATTAAAAGCCCCCGTATTCTAATTAAGTTTACATGAATCTGTACCTTCAGAATATTTAAACAAGTTTCTTACTTACTCTAAATTGATTAAAAAGACTTCCTATAATGTATCACTAAAAGAAGCATGCTGGGAAAATCAGTTGTGTGTTTTATGTATTACACTTTGTATACTTAATTGTCTTTCTATACAGGTAGTCCTCAACTTAATGACTGTTCGAAGTTACAACAGCATTGAAAAAAAATGACTTATGACTATTTTTCATACTTAGGACCGTTGCAGCATCCCCATGGTCATGTGATTTACATTCAGATGCTTGACAGCTGGTTCATATTTATGACGGTTGCAATGTCTTGGGGTCATATGATCCTCTTTTGCGACCTATTTACAAGCAAGGTCAACGAGGCAGCCAGATTCACTTAACCACGATGTTACTAATTTAACAACTGCAGTGATTCACTTGACAAATGTGGCAAGAAGAGTCACAAAAATGGGGCAAAACTCACTTAACAAATTGTTCACGTAGCAACATAAATTTTGGGCTCAACTGTGGTCATAAGTCAAGGACTACCTGTATTTAATGTTTGTTTACAGTTTTGTAGAAACTCTTTTCCTGATCTTTTAGGAAATAAGTGTGAACTTTAAGTTTGAGAGATATTCTATATTCCATTAACTTTTTCAAAATAAGCATTCTAATTATAGTTTCCTCAATTTATTGCTTCCTGATGGCTATTGCACAAGTTAGTTTTAGTATCTCTCTAAAACCATTTCTGTTGGATGATGGAATGAGTCATTAAATTGTGCAGTGTACATTTTCTGAATGACCAGGAGATAAAACCAGTAATGAGGAAACTTAGTTTTGGATAACAGCTCCCCTTCCTCTGGACATCCATATAAGTGGAAAAGGAAATGCATATCTATTTAATTAGCAAATTCATTCGTTCTGAGAAAAATGTCTCAATATTATATACCAAGAAAGGGAAGTATTGCATTTATCTCCAGAAAAGCCTTCACATTTTTTTGGTCTATTTGCTGTAAATTAGGCCAGGAGAGGTATGAATAAAATAAAATGCATAAAATACTGGCTTTTTAAACCAACAGCTAAGCTGAGTGGTCCGTATTTTTCTTAAAAGTGATGCCAGCAAGCTGCAATGCCAACACCAATCTTCAATATCACGTTTATTCTTAATAATGTCTCCTCTCCTATTCAGAGGCGTTCTTGCAAAATAAATGAGAAACAGAAATTAAGTGCTTTTTTGGAACTGTGTCCAGATGCCAAGAAAACAGCTAAAAGTAGGTTGCAGTAGTAGATATTATGGGAGACTAGAAATAATGACGAGGAACATCTTCACCCATTGTTAAATGAGTGTTTGAGATCAGGCATGTCTAACATGCCAGAAATTTTGTGCAAGTACCCTTAACCAGTTCTCAAAAATTCAAATGAGCTTGTTGGCCAAAACATTTGGAGATTTGGATTAAGCTGTGCTATATTTTTTGGATGGGTTAGCACCTCAAGTTAAGTAACAAAAAAAAAACCCCAGCCAATTAAGTTGCGACCTCAGATTATGCAACTCAATGAAATGGGAAGTGATCCTTTTGTTCTGTTTTACACTCTTTCCAACTTGGGTAGCAGTTTGAGAAAGCCATGATTAGAGGAATATAATATAGTGAATATGATCATATTACAGATTTATATAACAACATGATGCTTTTATCCCTTTCCCGTTGACCTATAGTGTGGCTATCACCTTTTACTTTGATACTTGAAACTCATTTTATTACCTGACCATGCTCAAATATTTTATTGTCAAATATAAATGTATATGCATAAATTCAGTCTTTCTTATTTCAGTGCATCTAATACAGAAAGATTCAGGTGCCTATGATCATTATCTTTATAGCAGACAGTTTTCTTTTACAGTTCATTTAGGAGAAGCATCCTGTGTCTTGTTTCAGAAACCTGCATCTTTTTTAGATCCTTTTTGACTCAGTTTTCCCTTGCTAATAAAAAAAAATGAAGCAATCATACAGTTCTTGAGAAAAAAAATCAGATTTAGAATTGTCAGCTGCTATTAGATAGTAATAGTATACTAAGCTTAAACTATAAGATTCAGATGGCATGATAAATCATCTAAAGCTCACTGTTTCTTATTCTCTTAAATTGAAAACATGGTTTATCATTACTAAATGTTGCCATTATACATTATCTCACCTGGACTACTGCAACACTCTCTACATGAGGCTGCCTTTGAAGAGCACCCGGAGGCTTCAGCTGATCCAGAATGTGGCCGTGTGGGTTATCATGGGGGTACCTAGTGCTCCCATGTTACACCCCTTTTAGGTGGCCTGCACTGGTTGCCGGTTGTTTTCTGGGTGCGATTCAAGGTACTAATTATGACCTTTAAAGCACTCCATGGCTTAGGCCCAGGGTACCTGTGAGACCACCTACTGCCACCAGTAGCCTCCCATTGTCCAGTGTGATCCCACAAAGTTGGCCTCCTCAGGGTGCCGTCGGCCAGACAGTGTTGGCTAGCGACCCCTGGGGAAGGGCCTTCTCTGTGGAAGCGCCTTCCCTCTGGAATGAGTGTCCCCGGAGCTTCGCATAATCCCCAACCTCCGATCCTTCCGACAAACCCTAAAAAGTTGTCTTTTCCAGCAAGCCGGCCTGGCCTGAACAGAATAAAATAAATGATTAATTAATTGTTAATTTTAATCTAATTTTTAATTTTTTATTGTTAATATTAATTGGGTTTGCTATTGGATACTTTATTTAATTTCCTTTTTAACTTTTGTAATATGTGGTTTTTTATGTTGTACGCCGCCCTGAGTCCTTTGGGAGAAGGGTGGCATATAAATCCAATAAACAAACGTAAACAAACAAACAAACCTGAATTCCTAAACCCCATACTAAAGGGTCGACTACAGAATAGATACAAAAACACGGTATCCTTGGTCAGCAAATCCATGATTTCAGGACATAAAGGAGAACTTAGCTATTTTGACCTTTAAAACTATAGTCAAATTTTTTAACGGTTTGTTCCACAAAAATGGAAAAGGGTATTTATATGATAACATTGAGGCTTCAATTCTGTTCATATTTATCTT